CTGGGCTTACCCTGGGCTCTATAGCTGCGGGCCCACGGGTGGTGCAGTGCCTCGTCAACCCCTTTAAGCCTGAAGGCCTCGACAACAGAACGGACAGGGGCAGCTGTGCAGTCACGCCATTGGCTCTCTGAGGAGAAATCTTCTTGGCACATGTTGAAAGAGCAACACACAGTGTCTTCGGCATCTACGCGGGTGCCGTGCTGGAAATGCGGGGTAATGTCAGTCTCCCCTACATTGTGATAGCAAGCAGCAATGAGATGCTGGCGCCCCGTTTGGCGATGGCGGACAGGGACGCTTGTGCGTCCTGAGCAGGTGTCCGGGTCTGGACAGCGGTGGCCAGGAATGATCACACAGAGGGCCTCAGAACCCATGTTGCGCAACAGAGCCAGGTCCTGGGCATTGGAGGCCGAGGCGTCAACGAGGACGGCTCCCGTGCAGTCTGAGGTAATCTCATCAAGTGTTGGGACCGGGCACTCATCCATGCCACACCACATGTCTGGCTCCAGGCGAAAGTCGGATGCACAGATGGGCGCCTGCTGCGAAAGCCGCTGTCTTCGCACAGCTTTCTGGATGCGGCTGGCAGCCTTTTCAGTGCGATTATCACCTGCAGGCCAGGAAAGGCCAGTCGCCTCTGCAGCAGAACACAGCTTCTGCCACTGGACTTTGGAGTCCGACTGTCGCAACGCACTGAGGCAAGCAGCCGTGCCTATGGCAGGAACGACAGAATCCACGGCCTCGTGCGTCTGTGCCAAGGACACACCCCGATCAAGCAGTAGGGAGGCAATCTTGCTTTTAGCAAAAGAGGTGTTCTCGTCCTTAGCCCCGCCACCCCTGACTTCAGGCATCACGGTGATCATGGGAAGCCGGGTGCGGGCTTTAAGGTGGCACAAACCATCCGCAAGCAATTCGGAGAGGGGCGCCATAGCCTCAATTGGGCGGGGGCCGGAGAAGACTCGGCAACCTGGCCAGGTGCCCGCGAAATCACACGCAGCCTTCCAGAGGTCCTCAACCGCCTGGGGCCGAAGGCTTCCTGGTAGGGCAACCTCGCCTATGGACCTGGCATCGACCTGCACAAGAAAGGGACCGACCATCAGGGCCTTCGGGTCCTGCGCCAAAGCCTTGAGCTGGGCCAAGAAAAAGAGGTCACGCAAGTATAGCCGAAGCGTGGGAGGCGTGACAAGAGGCTGCGCAGTAGCAGGCCGGAGAATCACACTCATGAACTCATCAGGCTGCGCAGGGATTGCGTCTGTCTCGGCAGCCCACCCCAAACACTCCAACAGGTGGTAGGGCAGGTGGACCCACCAATGGAGGGCGAAGGACTGTGGAACCTCAATACACAGACATGGCGCAACTTCCGTTATGCAGCAGGCACGGACTTGGTCAGTGTCCAAGGCAGGGGTGTGGAAATGAATGTCAGCAGCAGAGCCGGCGACAAAGGTAACCGGCGGGAAGTCTTGCACCTCATGGAGTTTTGCCCCGAAACAAGAAAGGCATACAACCGAAGGCTGTTCGGCGGTCCGGCACCTGTCAAAGGCCCACTTCAGCTGATGAAAGAAAGTAGTGGTGGCTGGCTGCACCACCACGAGCCCTGCTGAGGTGCACAACTGAATAGGCTCGCCGCATTGGGCACGGACACATGGGCAGGCATCGAACCTCAGTGGCCCTAGCCCCTTGACCTGAAGCGTGACCGTGGCACTCTGGCACGCGGCGGCCTCCGACCACTTGGGCTCGCCAATCAACTCAAGCTGCAAGGCTTCGACAAGCACAGACAAAGGAATCTGTGAAAAGAAGAAGACACTGCGCAGTTTCACCGGGGTGGTGGCTTGGCGGGGCAGACACTGAATACAAAGCTCATGGAATGTCAACGGGAGCCTGTGCATGTTTGACTCAAGTTCCTCACGGAGGGAGTGGCGGGCGAGGATTTTGCCGAGGTGTTGTCGGCCAACCATCAACCATCCAAGTGGCAACTGGAACAAAGCCGAGTTCCCTGCATGCAGGCGTGATTGCACACAGCAGTGTACCGCAAAGGCAGGGTCAATGCTGCCACAGCCTGGGAAGAACTGTACCGCATGTGCTAGTGTGAGCAAAGCCTGCGGGACCGCCAGGCTATTGCCCAAGATCCGCATGGAGGCTACATCATCATGTAAGAGGAGTTGGGCTTGCTGTGCCCCATGACAACTAGCAATCTCAGGCGCCGCAAAGAACCGGACCTCCGTGTCAAGCTGGGCCAGGCTGCACAGGATCCCACCACGCTCAAGCATTCGTGGGGGCAGCAAGTGTTGTTTATGATAGCTCGCCATGAAGCACTTTGCCTGCTGCGCTGGTGTGCACATCCTATACCGACGCGCTGCTGCGGCTGAGCTACCGTAGCCTGGTGGCAAGTACCATGGATCAGTATAGACCTGCAACAGCTCAGGGCTCAAGACCGTAGCCGCCTGAAGTTCTCCCGGGAGGTCCTGGAAAATGGCTCGCATACCTCCAAGGCTGGGGCGGCGAACCGGCTGCCACGCCGTGTGGCAAAACTTAGCTGCAGCATCTTGTCCGATCGACGAGTGCACGAAGATGAACATTCTCCTGGGGCGCCTTGTCGGGGAGACCTCAGCGAGTTGCAGAGAAGCCTCGTACACACGGCGGTAGCCTGCGTCCTGCCAGGCAAGCATAACCGCCGGGAAATCGGGATGTTTGGCAAAACCCACAACCTCCTCAAGGCAAACCACCGGGACCCTAACGACCCTCAGAACCGATGCAACGTGCAAGAGAAGCCGGCCATCAGGATTTGACAGGCCACCCTGGGAGCCTGAGTCACTCCAAGGCTGACACGGTGGGGAGCATACAAGGATCTGTGGTGGTGCAATCCCCCAGATCTGATGCCACCAAGCATGCTCAATATTGGCTTGTATGAGTATGGGACCATCAGCAGGGTCTGCCTCGAGTATGTCCGAAGCAGTTCTGGCAACCTGTATGTCCGGCATCATGGTACGTAGTGGGGCCTCGGTATCATCATCGATGTCAAGCACCCAAGAAGATTGGACCCTCAGTCCCTTATCTGAAAGGCACCATGCGGCTTGCGTCCAGCCCGCAAAGCCCCCACAGAAAAGCTCGGCAACCCTGACATTCTCAAAACTTTGAAGCACCACATCCCCTGTAACAAAGGCATGTCCGGCCGTTGCATCCAGGATAACAACATCGTTTTGCACTCTGACCTGTGTCCAGAGGGCCCTCAAAGTGCGACACTTGCTGGCAACCAGGTTCCAGACTGCATATGGCATGCGCAAGACTGCCATGTTACATGGTTGGCTGACATCATCAACTCGGACACCCTCCTCACGGATCTCCCCCTGGAGCTGTTGCAAAATCTTAACTCGGACGAGCACTGAATCACTGGTTTCAACCACTGGCCCATCGGGCTGAAGTTCAAAGCATACACACTCGCCGTCAAGTTCCTGAAGGGAATTCTGAGCAAAGCTGAAGAGATTCTTGATCCCTGTCCACCAGTCAAAACTCATGGCTCTTAAGTGCGAACGCGGCACGATCTGCACCCCCTTTCCTGGGGGCAACGACCCTGGCTCTAGTAGCCTCGTGCCAGAGTGGCTCTAAACCCTAAACCCTGGACCCTTAAATAATACTGAACCCTAAGTCTTTCCGGGTTGAGGAGTGTAAGGTCTCGGAAAACTGGGCTCAAGGTCCTGAGGCCTGGGAGGAAAGCAAGGTTTTGGAAGCATAGGGTCTAGGGCTTGCAGGGTTTAGGAGTTAGGGTCTAGGGCTTAGGGGTTTAGGGCTGAGGGTTTAGGGAGGGTTGAGGATTTAGGGTTTCGGGTTTGGGGTTTAGGTTGAGGGCTTTTGGAGCCTACCTGAGCCCAGAACCAGAAGCTATAGACGCTGCATGCCTACACACAACTTGAGACTTTTTGGAGTTCAGGGTGTAAAGGTTAATACTTTGGGGTTTGGGTGTGAGGATTTGGGGTTTAGGGGGTGGGGCCCTAGGGCCTATGCAACTTTAGACTATTTGGAGCCAGCGGCCCACGGCCAACTACAGGCAGACGCTCACAAGACCCCAAACCGGATGTCCCGCCACGGCCACACAGGCATGCGCTGACATCACGGCTGGGGGCCCACGTCGGTTTCGGGCTCTCTCCCTGGCTGTTGGAAGCTCCTGAGGTTCAAGGATTTCAGATTTAGGAGATAGTACGCGTGCAAGGTTTGGACTTTCCGGCTAGGTATGTTCAGAGCAAATGCTTTGAGGATGAAAAAGGCTTCAGGGCTTGAGGTTTCGGATCATGGGGGCGGGCAGGCTTGGGAAGGTGGCAGCGGTTTCGTTCCTGAGAACCCCAAACTACTTACTGACGTAGACGACGGATGGCTCAAAAACTTTAAGAGGTCCCTTTGATCTGAGATAGGCTTTACACGCTGCCCTGATCCTCTCGGGCTTGGTGCTTGGGCTGTGGGCTCGGTCACAGGCCGCAGCTGGCAGCTCACAGCTAAAGTGGAATGGCAAGGGGTGGTGTCTAACCGGCGCTGTACTGGTAGTAAGGAGATTGGCCAGAATGTCAGTAGCAACAATCCATGGAATGCATGTGATGTCAACATACAAGGTTGCAGGGAAGACTCGCAAAGACCCTCATTCCTCTCCAGTGCATCTGCTTAACAGTTTGCTCCTACAAGCATCTCCAAAGCCACGCCAATTCCCCGGTGCATCCGGTTGAGGGTTTAGGGTTGTGTGTTACAGCTTTTGCAGATCACGAACATGCCACGGTCTAAGTGGAAAGAAAGGGGCACTCCGACCCAATTCCCCCTCTGAAAGCTCAGCCAAAACCACTGCCAGTAGTACAACTGCGAGTGCCTCTTCTCGTAGTCTCACTCTGACTGTTTTTGGTTAACGCTAAAACCCTAAACCCTGAACCCTGAACCCTAAACCCTGAACCCCAAACCCTGAACCCTAAACCCTAAACCCGTGGATCACACCACGGCTACGACGACGAATACGACGTACTAACCCGGCCTCAAAGCGGTGGAAACTTCATCCGCTCCTCCGACCTTCACGGTTTAGGGTTTAGGGTTCAGGATTTAGGGTTCAGGGTTTAGGGTTAAGGCTTCAGGG